GCCCCTCATGGGGCTCGGCAGTGGAGCTGCAAGGCCGGCGGCAGCGGCCGGGACCGTTGGGGGCGGGGTGTGTGGCCTTATGACACACTTCCGGTGATGCCAGGGGGTGTAGCCTTATGACACACTTCCGGTGATGTCAGGGGGTGTGGCATATGCTAATGAGTTATGCTAATGAGTTCCCCTGGCTCTTTTTCTACGAAACGACCCCTGACACACACACACACACACGGAGCTGCCTTAAACTGCATTGGACCCTTGGTTCATCAGAGTCAGGATTGTCTACCCAGACCGGTAGTGGCTCTCCAGGGTCTCAGGCTGAAGTCTTTCCCATCACCCCCTACCTGATTCTTTAAACTGGAGATGCCGGGGGTTGAACCTGGGACCTTCTGCATGGCAAGAAGATGCTCTGATAGTGAGCTACCACCCCTCCCCAAAGATAAATGGAAGGTAGTCATCTCCATGTCCTAGGCTGTGTACCTTCTTCCACTGGTTAACTTCTAAAACGAAAGGTTCCAGGGTTCAAGCCTACTTAAGCATCTCATTTTTCTGTTCCCATGCATGGGGGGAGAGAATGGACTCAGCATGATCTCAGTGGCCTCTTGCTTCTCTGCCCGACCTTTCTGCCCTCACAAGGAGCACCAAAGCAGTGAACAGTTCGAAGCATATATGATGAAAATCGCTTTTTAAAACCATTAGAAATCAGCCTCCCCCCCCCAAAAAAACACACACCATTAAAAAAATTAAAAACAGAGTTAAATTACAAAGACATTAATACATACAGAGACAGAAATATAGCAAAGAAAACATTCCTGAAGAAGGAGGGAATGTCGGACAGAACAAAAAGATCTTCGTCACCCACTGGTGGTGGAAGATGTTAACATAAGGGGGCAGATGAATCGCCCTGGGGAAAAGCGTTCCAGATTTCAGAAAGCATCCTCTCCCAGGTGGCCACCCCCGCCTAATCTCAGAAGAGAGAGGAAGAGAAGAGATTGGATTTATATCCTGCCCTTCACTACCCGAAGGAGCCTCAGGGTGGCTTGTCAATCCCTTCCCCTCCCCAGAGCAGACACTCTGTGAGGTAGGTTGGGCTGAGAAAGCTCTCTCTTGAGAATAGCTCTGAGAGAACTTGTGACTGACCCAAGGTCACGCCAGCAGCTGCAGGTGGGGGAATGGGGAATCAAACTCGGTTCTCCTAGTTTAGAGTCTGCGCTCTTAACCACTACACCAAACTGGCACCCGACACCAGGCTTCTGAAGATGGCTGTAGCTGTTGGTCAGCTTCAGGAAGGAGTAGGCAGTCCTTCAGGCATGTTGGCCCCAAACCAGATGCGGTTTCAAAGCAGCACTGAATTGTGCCCAAAGCAAATTGGCCCCCTGTGACGTCCCCGCTTATTTGGGAGATGGTTTTACCTTTAAAACTCTCTTCTGTGTACCTAAACTTGGTAGATTTCTGCTGCCACCAGGAATTAAAAAATCCAAATCTCTCTTTTGGTAGAATGACCCAAGGTCTGGGCACTTCAGAGGACTATGTGGCCCTGAGGAAGGACTATTTTGATTTCTGGGATAAGTTTAAACAAAAAATGATTTGTTTAATAAAGAACAAAATAGGTTTCTGGTTATGTTGAATGCTGATGAAAGGAACTTGTAAATATAACTGGCAAAGCTTGGAGTCACAAACAGTCTCTCAGACTCCAAACTCCACTCTGACCAGCTTAGACACTTAGTCTTATCTCTCTCATATATATATTTAGCCACACAGGCTGAACTATTTCTCTTATTCACACAGAATACACTCAAAAACTCCCATAGTCACACAGACAATGCTCTCTCTTCAAACGTCACACACAGAATCTCCTCATAGACATCTCTCCTCCCACACCCTCAGTCATCAACCAGTCACATCACACTTATCTCCCTCTATCACTCTCCTTACAGTACTGCAGTCAAACTAAACATTTAAAGAAACACACACACACCAAAGCATGAACTCATTACACACACCCCTCCTGCTGAGGCTGTGGCCAAGGAGTTGTGGGTGGCCATGAGATTTGATGGGAACAGCCTTTTCTTCCTGGAAGGCAGTTGGCCTGGCAGGCACGTCCTCCCCCTTCTAGCAGTTCCAAGTGTTTGAACATTGCCTTTCCACCCAACTTCGGGTCCCTAAGATGACTGACCATCACAGCGTTAAAAATATGTTGAAATATAAATGAATGTACATGAAGCATTTTGAATGATTCATAAAATGGGGGAGGTATTTGTGAATGTCCTGCATTGTGCAGGGGGTTGGACTAGATGACCCTGGAGGTCCCTTCCAACTCTGTGATTCTAAAGTGTGTAGACACATAGCCGTGAGAAGGAAGAATGGCCACTGAAAGCTAGTGAAGGAGTGCCGAACAGAATGACGGAGTCTTGACCTGCTGACAGAAGATGGTGATAGAGCAGGACAGATGGCTCTCCGTGGGGAGGGATTTCCATAATTTTGATGTCCCAAGTGGGAAGGCCCAGTTTTGGGTGGCCACCTGTCTAGTCTCAAGTGGCAGAGGTGCCCGAAACAGGGTCTCTGATGATGACTGTCTTGATTGGGTGGGCGTGTTTGGGAACAGGCAGTCCTTAAGGATTCCTGGCCCCAAGTGGTTTAAAGGTCACCAGCACCTTGAATTCTGGTCCCAGAAATGAATAGGGAGCCAGTGCAGATGGAACGAGACTGAAGGGATGTGGTCCCAGTAACCTCCTCCAGTCAGCGTTCCTCTCTGGAGTGCCTTCTCGGTTCCTCCGTTCTTACGCTTTTTCCTCGTTGAAACCAGTTGCTTGTTAGATAGTCCGACAAGCCAGGCGTCCAGGGCTCAGCCTCCAACCAGGTCCGTAGGCTCATGCAATCGCTTTTGTACACGTCCTGCCTGCAGAGAGCAAGTGGCATTGTAACCCATACTATACGGATGCTATTAAATCCGTTGATGAGAAGAAACGTGGCCAGGAAGACCAAGGATTTGTTCTTCTCCAATCCTTCAGCTTCCAGAAGTTTCTGGCTGACAGCGATGAAGAAGAGCAAGGAGAAGGGGGCAGTTCCCCAGGCCTGCTGCGTAAACGGGCCAAGAGCAAGGAGGAGAAGGTAGGGTGTGAGGAAGCCTCGGGAACATTCCGTCCAACGGTGGGCAAGATTTCGGGAGTCTAGCGGCCTTATCGGGGGAGGGGGGACACTCTGACTTCTCTGGACAACAGAGCGTTTAAATCAGGCATCCCCAACGTGGTGCCTACTGATGTCTGTAGAAAGTGGGTGGGGTTTTTGCCCAGCAAAGCTTCCGAGTGGCCACAGCACAAAGATCTTCACTGTGTGACTGAAGGTTAGCTGTGGCAGCCATTTTGTGGCTGGCTCTGCCTACTGCGGTGGCCATTTTGTGACTGCATTGACCACACCGTGTCAGAAGTCAAAAAGGTTGGGGACCCCTGATTTAAATGAAAGTAACCATTGTCCGTTGGGGTGGGGGTGCACGGCAGATGCTGACATTCTCTGTACCTGTTCCCCTCCAGGAGCGTGAAACGGCAGATTATATCAGCTGGCTGAAAGGTCAGGAGAAACTGCCGACGGAGGAGGCCGTTCAGGATCTGGTGAGTGATGAGCCAGTAAGCTCTGCCAGTGAGGAGGTGCAGTGTTAGGATAGTCAAGTAACAAATAAATATACACTGCAGGAACCTTTTGTAAATTAATGTGTTCTGTTTATAACTACCTTTCAATAAAGTGCATTGTGTATTATTATAACATCCTAATTTCAGTACATTCAGTATGACAATAACATACAGTTCATACAATATAACAACTACCGATCAATTTTGCATCAGTATTTTAAAAGTCGAACCCCAACGGGAGTTTCCAGAATTACAAGCCCGCTTCTACTTGCATGAAGTCTTCCAGAAGGGGGAAAGCTTTCGTTTATAGTTGTGTTGATGGTTATTGCCAGTCCTACAAAAGACTATTTAAAAGACCTTAAGGAGGTGGTGGCAAGTAGTTGGAAGCCCGCAAGCCGGTTCTGGCCAGGGGCTCTTGACTTCAGGGCATGTTCTAAACTTGGGGCAACTCTGGTTTCTGGAGGGACAGGCAGCAACCAGAAAAGTCTGCGTCTGCATCTCATACAGTGGTCCGGGGCAAGGTGCTGGCTTGGGACTTTGCTGTTTTATTTATTTTATTAGATTATTTATAAGATT